TTGAACTATATTTTTTTAAATGCTTTAAAAATGGACTCAAATATAACTTGTCCTCGCCAATATGTAAGCCTCATGAGAGGAACTACGTTATAGTTACAGCTGGACAAGTGTTTAGTATTCAGTCATCTTTTCTGAGTTCCTTTCTCCTCTTCCAAGGCCAAAACTTATGTTGTTCAAACAATATTAGCAAACATTTTCCCATTTAACTCAGACTTGGCAAAGGCAAGAGATTACCTAAAATTTGAGAAATAATATCTCTGCTGAAGAGTCAGGAAAATATGATGTTTAACATAGAGATATTTATTTAAGCTAATATGCAAATTTTTGTTTATATAATTTCAAATTTATTATTTTATAGCCGAAGACTCTTTCTTGGACAGGCTTTTCTATTAATGTAAATAAAATGTTAGGTATGTCTGGCAGATGGAATGAAATGGAGTTTGCTTTCCTGTTGCTGTGATTAAACATTCTAACCAAAAGCATCTTGAAGAGGAAACGTTTATTTTATCTTACAACTCCCAGGTCAAAATCCATCACTGAAAGGAGCCGGAGCAGGTGGTGGGGGCGGAGGGGGGGCACATTGCATGACACAGGTGCATGTACCTATGTGCAGGCATAACATTCATACACATAAAAATAATAAAGAAAATATTTTTTAAAGAAGCCAGGGGAACAGCACAAAGTAAAATACTGGAAGCAGGAACCTGAGGCAGAGACCATGGAGGAAAACTGCTCACTGGCTTGCTCTCCTTGGCTTGCTCTCCTTGGCTTGCTCAGCTTGCTTTCTTGTGCTGCTGCTCAGCCTCACCTGCCTGGAGACATTACCACTCATAGTGGGCTGGCCCCTCCTGCATCAATCAGCCATTGAGAAATGTCCCAAAGTCATGTTCACAAGCCAATCTGATAGAGGAAATTCCTCAGTAGAATTTCCCTCAGGTGACTCTAGTCTGTGTCAAGTTGACAGAGACCTACTAACCAGCATAGTGGACTAAAAGGAGAGGGAGTCTAACAGATGTGACATGTCTTAAAATATTTACAAATACTTTCACATTTGGAACTTTCCAACTGACTTCAGTTATTCAACTATATGCAATATAAATAATAGATTATTTTAGTCTTTTCAGAAA